TCTTGTGCAAAATAAACAAATTGTTTAAGTACTATGATTATCAACTCACCAAACGTTGCTCAGAGCGAAGACTCAAAAGTTTCAAGGTTTCTTCATGGTGTCTTAAGATAAGATCGTTGAATACCGAATAGCTAAGAAATGTCACGATTTTAATCATTGTTGTAGTTGGTTGCATCATCATTATTCACGAGGTTGTCACGTGCGATTCTACTTGAAAGTGAAACAGTCTTTAACTCTGACGACTTGATTCTAAAAGTGTTATAAGCCTTAACTCAAGGCACTAGTTACAAAGCTAAAGAGGTCTTCATTTTTTTCAAGTTACTATTATTACTATTATTACAGTTTGCACGTGAAATTGTCGTACTTTGCCCCTTTCGTGTGGTTCTTACGCAAGAGAATTCGAGTTATCACATAGTAATCCAGTAAAACTGGGATTATAAAAATAACTCATGCACACAATTTACGCGTGAAGATGCTGGACTTTGTCCCTTTTACAACTCGAATTGTTTAATAGAAAATTTGCTCAAACGATTTTAAGAAAATACCTCGGCGTTACAACATCTGCTATTAAATCATGCTTCATGCAACGTTAAGGTTGATAGTCTAACTTTTATTTACTTCCCATAACATTATCAAACTGCCGAAATATATTTCTACTAATATCATGTTATTCCAGTTAATAAAACAATACCTAATTATTTTGTCAACTAGCTTCTTCCAAGTTTTATTCCCTAACGCTATTGTTTCTTCTTAAGTTACGCATCTTTACTGAATAAAGTACGTTTCAATAACTATAATGACTCTTAAGCAGCAAGCATGTATCATGTTGTTCACTTAATTCATGTTGTTTTTTTTTGTTGGAACGAAGAAGGTCTGTTGAACTTTGTAAGCGAGAGAATAAAACTTTTTTACAGGATTAACTTACTCGGTACAGCTTTCAAACAAAAAAATAAACTGCCTTTTAAATTTCTAAAACAACAATTTATAGGCTGTACACATGTACTTCCGAAATTAAGTCCATATCTAAATATCAGTTATTGTTTCATTAAAAGAACTTTGAAAAAATATATGATCTTTTATACTCTACCTTGAAGCAGATGAAACAGAACTCATAAATTATGAAATACGTGCGTTGTAATAATAATAATAATGTACCGTTCGCGATAGCCGCGAATTAGGTCAGAAATATCTTGAAGCAGCACCCACATGTACGAAAATACTGGAACCCTTAAACCGACCTGCATCACTGTACTGAGTGTTTTAATCATGGAGATATTTAAATGTTATTCTTCCAAACACCTTTAGCCGTAATAAAAGTCGAAAAAAATGGTGAAGAATCAAGATGGCGATCTCAAAGTGCTCTTGTTTGACCTTTAGCAATGTCATGTTTAATGCCAAAATCTCATTGGTTCCTAGCATCAGCTGATAGTATCTTCAACCTTATTGGTCCCTGCAACACACATCCAAACACACAAAGCCAAAAAAGACACATACGCTCAGACCACTGACATACGAGCTATTTTTTCAAAAAGTTCAATAATGGCATGTGTATGTGTATGTAGTTGACCATTATCACATAAGAGTAGAGATTCAACAGATGGCGCAAACTCATCAGAAGATAAATAAAATACACTCAGTGGAAATTCGACGCTTGACGACAGACGCCTGCATACACATGAAAAGGACTCATCACCCTCCTCTGACAACACCACTTAGTACTTTTAACCTCTTGGGCATCATTTTTCAACTGGATGATTCCATCATCTGCTCGCACAAGGGGATCCTCGATTCACCTTACTCAAAACATTGGCATCATCTCAATACATCCTCACAAGGCGAGAGCTATCCTATCGTGTATTAAGCTTACACATAGCCTTCACAGCGCAGAAGGCGATACTGACCATTCTCTGGTGTATAGCAAAGTGAAACTACAGGCAAAGAGAATCTACCACACAAAGACTGTGTGAAAACCATGCCTTGACGTCGGCAAGACCCCAGGTTGACAGAAAGTGGAGGAGTTCATAACTACGCTTGAGAAATCTCCCCCAGCCTCTCTATTGGAAAAGTCCAAGAAGGATTGAATTACTTCAGGGATGCGGTTCATGGATCAGCCATGCCCAACTTCGGTAAGAAGAAAAACAAATCTGTAATAGAAGAAAAGAGAAACGTTATAACGGGATAAAAGTTCTGCCCAAGTGAACAAACTGTCTACAGGCTCTAGAGACAGCACGTAGTAATGTGCAACGATGCAACAGACCACGTGCAAATCAATACTGGCCTGAAATCTGTGCTAGTATTCATTCTGTTGTTGAGACAGGTATTACTAAGATAATCCAAGACCGAGCGCAACAGATGGAGCGCTGAGTAGAACATGATTACTCTGAGCTGTCTGCAGAGAGAATATGGTGTCTTTGGAAGCACTGAATGCCATAGAGTGCTTACCTGTTCTGTAGCACCTGGATAGTGGTGGCCTACTGAGTGGAGCTGAAAGAGGCCCTGGGGTACCTGCACCTGGAAAAGCGCGCGGCCAGGATGGTAATACTCTGCCTGTGCTACGCAAACGTAGTCACTCTATAGCAAAACAAGGGGACCAGAAGAGCCTGCAACAATTATCAAGGCATATGACTCCTCAGCATTGCTATGAAGCTCTTCGCGCGAGTAGTTCTGAGGGGTCTCCAACTGCTTGCAGACAAAATTTTTCCTGAGTAATCGTGTGGTTAATCCCTGCCAAACGATCAACACTATTAGGGCTAATAGCTTGTCCAGCCCAGTATAATCAGTTAGGTCAGTTCGGCCGAAGCTTCGCCGCAATGGCCCAAGCATTAACTTCAGTTAAACCATCTTTTTTGGGAGCCACTTTCAAGCTGACCTAGTCTTTTTCCTTTTTCGAGCAAAACAGAGCCATTTAGGCTCACATAATCATATCACTTGAACAATGTAACTTGCAATCCGTTGTCGACGTGCTCTTTACATCCCGATGGCCTTCAATGAAGGTTGCCGTCTTTGCTTCGAACTATTTAAATGTGGGGTTCAAGGAGAATAATTTTTTTCACAACCTGACTTACAACTGACTTTGAGCTGAGACGGCCTTCCGAATGAGTTATCCCAGATAATAACGATCATTACTGACGGTGGAATAAAGGAACATTTGATTTAAGCTCCTTCGGAATTAAGCTAAGGGTTACTTGTTGGTACGTAAAAAAATAGCTGGCCCGGTTGTTCAAAAGGTGGATAGCGCTATCAACTGCATAAATCTCTATCCACGGGGATACTGCGATTGTTTTTCTCCGCTGGATAGTGATTTATCCGATAAATAGCAACAACCGGGGTCTGATCACATTTCCCCTTAAATAAGCGATTTTGTAAAATTTACACACGAACAATTTCTTCTCTGTGCGTAACAGTTAATTTCAGCTTGAATCTTCAGGCAACCTAAGTTTAGGATGTGTACTAAGAACTGAATCAGATTTTTCTAAATCTTAAGACTAGACTAGTCAGACGCTCGAGCAACTCGTGACGCAATATTTACAGTTTTAAACCCCAATCTCAAACTCTGTCCGAGGACCCTCAAGAGACGATGAAATATAACTTCCATGTAAGATATAACAATAAGGCAAGTGATTCCGGAAGTGCTTAGTTCCTCCTGCGTTCAAAAAGAATTTACGGCCTTAAAATCCTTGACGCCCCATTTTGTTGTCGTTTTCTTTAGCTTTACTTCCTATTTTCGAGTTTATAACCTCCTCTTTTTATACCAAGTTACCTATAGAAAGTTCCTTCTTGTTTAGGCCTAATTGTAATTTATTCCATGACATAATTATTTGTGTTCTACTGATAGGTTTTCTTTACAGTCTTAAATCATTATTACATGTAATCCTTATTGATCACTGAAGAACCCCAAATGGATATGTGTTCAATAAAATGTATGTATGTGTGTATGAAATATTAATTCTCTTTTTTATTTTATTCGACGGTCATTGTAAAAATTAATATAATTGTACGTTTGGTATTTGTAGGTATACATGAACAGGAGATCTCAGTAAGCTCAGCTGAGCTTTTAAGCGGAGATCCCCAACTTTACTTATCAATTAAATTACTAACAACAGGCTTGGCGCTTAATTCTATCGAATTTTCATGAAATGATGCAAGCATATCAATTTTGGGAATTTTAATGTACTGTCACATGCCTTTCAACCTTTTAGACGTTTTTATCATTCTTCCAGAATAGTTGATCCTAACTTAAAATTCTACAAGAAAAACCACGTTTTTAAAAAAATACAAAGAAACCTAAAAACTAAAAGATTTCTCGTAAATACAAGACTGCAGACACAGGTTCAATAGATTTAGAAATAAACAAACAAAACTCCTGGGGCCCTGTTTCTCGAAGCTCCCGGTAATTACCGGGCCCGTTAAGCTGTTTTGTTTTCCATTTTAGAAGGAGTTTTAAAAGTTTTGAAAATTATACAGTAGAGTTATTAGCTAACGAAACAAAATGGACTTCATTAGAAGTCAGAACACACCCTACTTTTCTTGAGACTTTGATTTAAAAATGTGATTCCGGGCCCGTTAAGTTACCGGGACTTTCGAGAAACGGGCCCCTGATCATTTACTTCAACAACTTAACTGCTTTTAAATGTCACTAGCTTTATTTTGCCGATGCGGGTAACCGAAATCTTTCGTAACTTTGTATTCCTGGGTAAGTCCATTTAACCGAAACAGAATGTTTTGTGGAATCACAGCTACGATAGCATCAGCTTAATTTACAATTTTAAATGACACCTGACCAGACCACAGAGTTGTTACGTATAAGAAAAAGCTTTACATTTTGAAGAAAACCTTATTGTTTTCGTAGCTATTTCTTAAGCCAAAAGCTTATTATTATAACGTTTCTAACTGGCTTCCTTATTTTTTTTTTATTTAAGATTAACTCTATTTCCGTAGAACTATTTGCTAATTATTCTGGTCTTGTTTCTTTCACTGTTTATGTTTCAGAAAAGACCCAAATGGGCACTGTTCAAGAAGCTATTCACCTTGGCTTCATTGCCGCAGATTTTCTTTCAAACACTAAACGAGGTGTCCAGGCTATCGAGCTCTGGGACGAGTGCTTACAGCTGTGCTTAATACTACTAAACAACAAAACCTTAGAAAACGAACATGAACTTGCCACAATAGTTGGTGTAGCGCTGTATAAGAAGCTAGCGCTGTCGTATGAAAATGCTGCTATTACGAAACTTTCACCAGCTATAGAATCTGGCAAAAAGCTTTTAGTCCTACTTCGTAATCATAAGAGAAAAAAAGAAGAAGGTGAGACAGCCTCGATGTTATCAAAACTGTACTTCGAAAAAAGTGAATACCAGGAAGCACAAGCAGTCCTCAAAATTGCACTAAGCGTTTACAAAGAAATCGAAGACAAAGACGGAGAAGCGTCATGCTACATAAACCTAGGAAATGTGTTTCCATGTGTCGGAGAATATGCCAAGGCTGAAGAATATCTTCAGAAAGCACTTACCATCATGACAGAAAGTGGCGACAAACACGGAGAAGCGTCATGCTACGGAAGCCTAGGAAATGTGTTTCAATCTGTCGGAGAATATGCCAAAGCTGAAGAATATCTTCATAAAGCACTTACCATCATGACAGAAATTGGCGACAAAGACGGAGAAGCGTCATGCTACGTAAACCTAGGAAATGTGTTTCAATCTGTCGGAGAATATGCCAAGGCTGAAGAATATCTTCATGAAGCACTTACCATCAAGACAGAAATTGGCGACAGAAACGGAGAAGCGTCATGCTACGGAAACCTAGGAAATGTGTTTCAATCCGTCGGAGAATATGCCAAGGCTGAAGAATATCTTAATAAAGCACTTACCATCGTGACAGAAATTGGCGACAAAGACGGAGAAGCGAGATGCTACATTATCCTAGGAAATGTGTTTACATGTGTCGGAGAATATGCCAAGGCTGAAGACTATTTTCATAAAGCACTTACCATTAGCACAAAAATTGGCGACAGAAAGGGAGAAGCGACATGCTACGGACGCCTAGGAATTGTGTTTCGATCTGCCGGAAAATATGACAAGGCTGAAGAATATCTTTATAAAGCACTTACCATCAACACAGAAATTGGCGACAGAAACGGAGAAGCGACATGCTACGTAAACCTAGGAAATGTGTTTCAATCTGTCGGAGAATATGGCAAGGCTGAAGAATATCTTTATAAAGCACTTACCATCGACACAGAAATTGGCGACAGAAACGGAGAAGCGACATGCTACGGAAACCTAGGAGCTGTGTTTCAATCTGTCGCAGAATATGCCAAGGCTGAAGAATATGTTCATAAAGCACTTACCATCAACACAGAAATTGGCGACAGAGTGGGAGAAGCGTCATGCTACGTAAACTTAGGAAATGTGTTTCAATCTGTCGGAGAATATGCCAAGGCTGAAGAATATCTTCATAAAGCACTTACCATCAACACAGAAATTGGCGACAGAAACGGAGAAGCGACATGCTACGGAAACCTAGGAAATGTCTTTCTATCTGTCGGAGAATATGGCAAGGCTGAAGAATATCTTCATAAAGCACTTACCATCAAGACAGAAATTGGCGACAGAAAGGGAGAAGCGTTATCCTACGTAAACCTAGGAAATGTGTTTCAATCTGTCGGAGAATATGCCAAGGCTGAAGAATATCTTCATAAAGCACTTACCATCAACACAGAAATTGGCGACAGAAACGGAGAAGCGACATGCTACGGAAACCTAGGAGCTGTGTTTCAATCTGTCGGAGAATATGCCAAGGCTGAAGAATATCTTCATAAAGCACTTACCATCAACACAGAAATTGGCGACAGAGTGGGAGAAGCGTTATGCTACGTAAACCTAGGAAATGTGTTTCAATCTGTCGGAGAATATGCCAAAGCTGAAGAATATCTTCATAAAGCACTTACCATCAACACAGAAATTGGCGACAGAAACGGAGAAGCGTCATGCTACGTAAACCTAGGAGCTGTGTTTCAATCTGTCGGAGAATATGGCAAGGCTGAAGAATATCTTCATCAAGCACTTACCATCAACACAGAAATTGGCGACCGAAACGGAGAAGCGACATCCTACGGACACCTAGGGAATTGTGTTTCAGTCTGTCGGAGAATATGCCAAGGCTGAAGAATATCTTCATAAAGCACTTACCATCAACACAGAAATTGGCGACAGAGACGGACAAGCGTCATGCTACGTAAACCTAGGAAATGTGTTTGAATCTGTCGGAGAATATGGCAAGGCCGAAGAATATCTTCATAAAGCACTTACCATCAACACAGAAATTGGCGACAGAAAGGGAGAAGCGACATGCTATGTAAACCTAGGAAATGTGTTTCAATCTGTCGGAGAATATGGCAAGGCTGAAGAATATCTTCATAAAGCACTTACCATCAGCACAGAAATTGGCGACAGAAAGGCAGAAGCGTCATGCTACGTAAACCTAGGAACTGTGTTTCAATCTGTCGGAGAATATGCCAAGGCTGAAGAATATGTTCATAAAGCACTTACCATCAACACAGAAATTGGCGACAGAAAGGGAGAAGCGTCATGCTACGTAAACCTAGGAGCTGTGTTTCAATCTGTCGGAGAATATGCCAAGGCTGAAGAATATCTTCATAAAGCACTTACCATCAACACAGAAATTGGCGACAGAAACGGAGAAGCGACATGCTACGGAAACCTAGGAAATGTGTTTCAATCTGTCGGAGAATATGCCAAGGCTGAAGAATATGTTCATAAAGCACTTACCATCAACACAGAAATTGGCCACAGAAACGGAGAAGCTACCTGCTACGGAAACCTAGGAAATGTGTTTCAATCTGTCGGAGAATATGCCAAGGCTGAAGAATATCTTCATAAAGCACTTACCATCAAAACAGAAATTGGCGACAGAAACGGAGAAGCGTCATGCTACTTAAACCAAGGAGCTGTGTTTCAATCTGTCGGAGAATATGGCAAGGCTGAAGAATATCTTCATAAAGCACTTACCATCAAGACAGAAATTGGCGACAGAAAGGGAGAAGCGACATGCTACGGAAACCTAGGAGCTGTGTTTCAATCTGTCGGAGAATATGGCAAGGCTGAAGAATATCTTCATAAAGCACTTACCATCTACACAGAAATTGGCCACAGAAACGGAGAAGCGAAATGCTACGGAAACCTAGGAGCTCTGTTTGTACGTGTAGGAGAATATGGCAAGGCTGATGAAAATCTTCATACAGCACTTACCACCAACACAGAAATTGGCGACAAAGACGGAGAAGTGTCTCGCTACCTAAAGCTAGGAAACACATCTCAAGCCTTATCGGATCTCTGGTCAAGCATTAAAATTTACGAAAAAATGCTTACTTCTCTAGGAAGCAAAGATAGCCACAATATATCGTTTTTTGACAAACACGCGTCTCCCTATCGGCTGTTTTGTTCATTGAGTTGTTCTTGTGGGAAACACGATGAAGCTTTACACGCTGCTGAACTTGGACGGGCCAGAGCTCTAGCAGAACTTATGTCAAATCGCTACTCCATTGAAAAAGAAATATCCATCAACCCACAATCGTTTGTTGGCATCGCGGAAGTAATTAAGAAAAATGGCAACAGCACCTGCCTATACATCTCCTACCACAAAGACAATATATTTTTGTGGGTTTTGAAACAAAGCAAACCGGTAGCTTTCCGAAGAACGAAACTTTGTGAAAGCTATGTTAGCAAGCATGGCAAAATCTCTGTGTATGACCTGTTTGGAAACGAAAGCTTATTAAGAAAATTTCACGTTTTACCTCAAGAGCAATGCGAAGACCGATCACTCTTCTCTTCATTCGCCAACCAACTTACAAACGAATCAAATCTGGAAGATAGTCTCTTAACCTTGCGTCCTCTTTTAGATGAGGATGAAGTATACACGGACCCTGAACCGCCAACACTTTTTCAGGTTTACAACATGTTGATTGCTCCCGTGAGTGACTTGCTAGAAGGATCTGAAATCATTGTTGTTCCTGATCGCTGCTTCTTCCAAGTTCCGTTTGCAGCATTACACGATGAAAGTAGCCGCTATTTATCAGATTCTTTCAGGATACGAATTGTCCCTTCTTTGACGACGCTCAAGCTCATTCTGGACAGTCCAGGCGACTCTCACAGCGAAACTGGTGCATTGATTGTGGGTGAGCCAAGAGTGACGGATGTGTATTTCAAGGGAAAGTCAAGGTATCTCTGTCCATTGCCTGGCGCGAAAGGGGAAGCAGAGGTGATTGCGAGACTACTACCTGAATCTCACCTTTTAATAGGAGAGCAAGCAACAAAGCAGGCGGTTCTTCAGAGAATACCCTCAGTGAGCCTCGTACATTTCGCTGCTCATGGTGATGCCGAAAGAGGAGAAATTGCTCTTACCCCCGCTGACTCCACAGTGGAGTTTCCACACGAAGCAGACTACTTACTGTCAATGACCGACATTTCACAAGTTAGACTGTCAGCCAAACTGGTGGTCCTTAGTTGTTGCCATACCGCACGTGGACAGATCAAAACAGAAGGCGTTGTTGGAATCGCTCGAGCATTCTTAGGATCGGGTGCACGCTCAGTGTTGGTGGCATTGTGGGCCTTACAAGACAGAGCAACAGAGGAGTTCATGGGAAGATTGTACGAAAACCTTGTCCAAGGGAAAAGTGCAAGCGAAAGTCTTCACCGGGCCATGAAGTGGATGCGAAATAACGGTTTCTCAGAAGTGAGGCAGTGGGCACCTTTCATGCTGATTGGGGATGACGTGTCATTTCACTTTGGTGAAGAAAAGTGAAGGTAATTGTTTTCTGACAATTAGAGCCATAGGAAGTCTGTCAGGTCTTTTTGTATTACAGTTTTATCAACTTGGGTGCATTTGGTACTTTTAATTACCAAATAGAAAGCAGTATTTACCCTTAAAAGCCACATTATTGACTACATCTGAAGTTAGCTTTTACTATGACTGAGGTAAAATATCAATTAACCGCTTTTTAACATTCGACCACACCTCTGTACTTATCAGTCAACCCGTGCATATGCGGGGCTTTGCATTTGAAAAAAAAAACACTAAGCCCCGAATCCCTACAACAACACAGAATGATTTAATTCTTTTCTCTCTTTTCTGATATATGAAGCACAAATAATTCAATATTCTTTTATTTGCTACGGTTCAATATGATCGTGAGGGTTTGCTGACAAACTTTTTTCTTTCTGAATATAATAGGAAGAGAATTCCAGTTATGAATCCGAACCAAACAGCCCAGGGAAGGTTTTTGTTTGATATAAAGATAATCGGATCAAAAATATTATGGCGGAGATCTAGATCTCAGAATTGATCGAAAACACTGCAAAGTATAAATTATGGACTGTGTATGGAGTCTTGACCGTAACTAGAGGGCTTTTCGCTGACACTGACTGAATTACAGAAGTACACTGGTTCTAAACTTGGACCAAAGAGGGAAGACCGAGATTCCATAGGTCATCAAGGCAAGAAGTTTCAAACCTATTTTAGCTGTGCACCCTACATTTCATTTGTGATGCCAATTGATTGGAAAGTTTTAGCGGTGAGATAAACTCAAATAAGTAAACCTCTTCCGCCACGATAAAGCCGGAGGATCCCTCCTCCATGTAAAATGAACCTAAATGCCACTTAGCCCAGCTGGAGTCTTTTGTGTTGAGTAGATGTGTTTTATTAATTTTTATGTTTCTTATACATTACTGTTGCAGGTATTACACTAACGACACACCATGGAATAACGAAAAAGCCCTTCCGCAGAATTCCAATGAGGTAGTCCCTGGCGGATAATGTAAAGGATCAATCTCTGCAGCATACGAACATTGATTAAAAGAATTACTGTGAAAGAGAACTGACTTGCTTGGCCCAGCGGTTTATCTTTCCCGGCTTAATTATTTTTCCCACTAATCTTATTTTGTGTGTGTGTGTAGGTACCTTGAGTACTCTAATCTCTAAAATGTCTTGAAAAGCTCAAATCACCAGCTTTGTACATGTAGAAGTGTACATCGGTAGCTCGGACAATGATAAAACTGTAATTGTGACACGAATAACGTTAGGATTAGCTAATTTCCCTATCTTTTTAGGTAATTTGCAAAAAAACCCTACTTCCTTAATTAGTCCCTAAGGCTACAAATAAAAAATACTTTTTATGTAAACGAGATTTTTTTTATCGCAAATTGAAGTTTGATTACAATGCAAACAACATTGCAAGGTTTATAGTTTAGTAGAATTGTATATATTTTAGAGCCAATCTATTTGTGAACATAGAAGCAGTAGTTTTGCAACCTTGCATTATGAAATAAGGTTTGACGACTCAATTAAGTCAAATAAAAGCCTAGCGAAACCAATTTGTCCTAACTCCAAACTAGCCCAATTGTAAACTAAAGGTTATTTCATTGTATAATGCTCATACCTGAGCATAGGTTAGTATGTTAGTATAGAAGAGTAGTATGTGCTTTAAGTAACCACCTAAAATGCAAAGATTTGGTGGTCCAGTTTTCAGTAGTACTTTGAGTAGGAAAACTAAGTTTAGTAGTTTGAACAACATGTCGCGTATCCGAGAAGGTCGCACATGGAAGTTTCATTGTAATCTGTATATAAAATGTAAAGATTTGGTGGTCCAGTTTTCAGTAGTGCTTTGAGTAGGAAAACTAATTTTAGTAGTTCGAACAACATGTCGCGTATCCGAGAAGGTCGCACATGGAAGTTTCATTGTAATCTGTATATAAAATGCAAAGATTTGGTGGTCCAGTTTTCAGTAGTACTTTGAGTAGGAAAACTAAGTTTGGTAGTTCGAACAACATGTCGCATATCCGAGAAGGTCGCACATGGAAGTTTCATTGTAATCTGTATATAAAATGCAAAGATTTGGTGGTCCAGTTTTCAGTAGTACTTTGAGTAGGAAAACTAAGTTTAGTAGTTTGAACAACATGTCGCGTATCCGAGAAGGTCGCACATGGAAGTTTCATTGCAATCTGTATATAAAATGCAAAGATTTGGTGGTCCAGTTTTTAGTAGTGCTTTGAGTAGAAAAACTAATTTTAGTAGTTCGAACAACATGTCGCGTATCCGAGAAGGTCGCACATGGAAGTTTCATTGTAATCTGTATATAAAATGCAAAGATTTGGTGGTCCAGTTTTCAGTAGTACTTTGAGTAGGAAAACTAAGTTTGGTAGTTTGAACAACATGTCGCGTATCCGAGAAGGTCGCACATGGAAGTTTCATTGTAATCTGTATATAAAATGCAAAGATTTGGTGGTCCAGTTTTCAGTAGTACTTTGAGTAGGAAAACTAAGTTTAGTAGTTCGAACAACATGTCGCGTATCCGAGAAGGTCGCACATGGAAGTTTCATTGTAATCTGTATATAAAATGCAAAGATTTGGTGGTCCAGTTTTCAGTAGTACTTTGAGTAGGAAAACTAAGTTTAGTAGTTTGAACAACATGTCGCGTATCCGAGAAGGTCGCACATGGAAGTTTCATTGTAATCTGTATATAAAATGCAAAGATTTGGTGGTCCAGTTTTTAGTAGTGCTTTGAGTAGAAAAACTAATTTTAGTAGTTCGAACAACATGTAGCGTATCCGAGAAGGTCGCACATGGAAGTTTCATTGTAATCTGTATATAAAATGTAAAGATTTGGTGGTCCAGTTTTCAGTAGTGCTTTGAGTAGGAAAACTAATTTTAGTAGTTCGAACAACATGTCGCGTATCCGAGAAGGTCGCACATGGAAGTTTCATTGTAATCTGTCTATAAAATGCAAAGATTTGGTGGTCCAGTTTTCAGTAGTACTTTGAGTAGGAAAACTAAGTTTTATTAGTAGTTTGAACAACATGTCGCATATCCGAGAAGGTCGCACATGGAAGTTTCATTGTAATCTGTATATAAAATGCAAAGATTTGGTGGTCCAGTTTTCAGTAGTACTTTGAGTAGGAAAACTAAGTTTAGTAGTTTGAACAACATGTCGCATATCCGAGAAGGTCGCACATGGAAGTTTCATTGTAATCTGTATATAAAATGCAAAGATTTGGTGGTCCAGTTTTCAGTAGTACTTTGAGTAGGAAAACTAAGTTTGGTAGTTTGAACACCATGTCGCGTATCCGAGAAGGTCGCACATGGAAGTTTCATTGTAATCTGTATATAAAATGCAAAGATTTGGTGGTCCAGTTTTCAGTAGTACTTTGAGTAGGAAAACTAAGTTTGGTAGTTTGAACAGCATGTCGCGTATCCGAGAAGGTCGCACATGGAAGTTTCATTGTAATCGGTATATAAAATGCAAAGATTTGGTGGTCCAGTTTTCAGTAGTACTTTGAGTAGGAAAACTAAGTTTAGTAGTTCGAACAACATGTCGCGTATCCGAGAAGGTCGCACATGGAAGTTTCATTGTAATCTGTATATAAAATGCAAAGATTTGGTGGTCCAGTTTTCAGTAGTACTTTGAGTAGGAAAACTAAGTTTAGTAGTTTGAACAACATGTCGCGTATCCGAGAAGGTCGCACATGGAAGTTTCATTGTAATCTGTATATAAAATGCAAAGATTTGGTGGTCCAGTTTTTAGTAGTGCTTTGAGTAGAAAAACTAATTTTAGTAGTTCGAAACACATGTAGCGTATCCGAGAAGGTCGCACATGGAAGTTTCATTGTAATCTGTATATAAAATGTAAAGATTTGGTGGTCCAGTTTTCAGTAGTGCTTTGAGTAGGAAAACTAATTTTAGTAGTTCGAACAACATGTCGCGTATCCGAGAAGGTCGCACATGGAAGTTTCATTGTAATCTGTCTATAAAATGCAAAGATTTGGTGGTCCAGTTTTCAGTAGTACTTTGAGTAGGAAAACTAAGTTTAGTAGTTTGAACAACATGTCGCATATCCGAGAAGGTCGCACATGGAAGTTTCATTGTAATCTGTATATAAAATGCAAAGATTTGGTGGTCCAGTTTTCAGTAGTACTTTGAGTAGGAAAACTAAGTTTTATTAGTAGTTTGAACAACATGTCGCATATCCGAGAAGGTCGCACATGGAAGTTTCATTGTAATCTGTATATAAAATGCAAAGATTTGGTGGTCCAGTTTTCAGTAGTACTTTGAGTAGGAAAACTAAGTTTGTTAGTTTGAACACCATGTCGCGTATCCGAGAAGGTCGCACATGGAAGTTTCATTGTAATCTGTATATAAAATGCAAAGATTTGGTGGTCCAGTTTTCAGTAGTACTTTGAGTAGGAAAACTAAGTTTGGTAGTTTGAACAACATGTCGCGTATCCGAGAAGGTCGCACATGGAAGTTTCATTGTAATCTGTATATAAAATGCAAAGATTTGGTGGTCCAGTTTTCAGTAGTACTTTGAGTAGGAAAACTAAGTTTGGTAGTTCGAACAACATGTCGCGTATCCGAGAAGGTCGCACACGGAAGTTTCATTGTAATCTGTATATAAAATGCAAAGATTTGGTGGTCCAGTTTTGAGTAGTACTTTGAGTAGGAAAACTAAGTTTAGTAGTTTGAACAACATGTCGCGTATCCGAGAAGGTCGCACATGGAAGTTTCATTGTAATCTGTATATAAAATGCAAAGATTTGGTGGTCCAGTTTTCAGTAGTGCTTTGAGTAGAAAAACTAATTTTAGTAGTTCGAACAACATGTCGCGTATCCGAGAAGGTCGCACATGGAAGTTTCATTGTAATCTGTATATAAAATGCAAAGATTTGGTGGTCCAGTTTTCAGTAGTACTTTGAGTAGGAAAACTAATTTTAGTAGTTCGAACAACATGTCGCGTATCCGAGAAGGTCGCAC